ATGTCAGTTTGCTATAAAACAAAAAAACTGAATTATTGTCTGTTTACTAAATTCAAAAAGAGGGAAATTGTATTTGTATTCTCAAAAAAATACACAAAGTAAATGTCACTGATGTCCAGGTCTAGGGAAGAGGGGAGAAACAGAGTGGGTGTGTGAAGGGGAGTACATTGGAAACTAAATGTTGGACACGAAGCAGAAGTGGGGCGGACAGACGGGCAGTTGTACAGACGGACAAAAAGACGGATGGAATATCTTTTTACCACGGAAGAATGCTGAGGCTTTCTGACAGCTGAGGATTATCTGACGACACAAAGGCCTGCCTGTACTGGGGGTTAGCTTAGCATGTAGCCTGTCAGAATAGCTGCTGCATTAAATGATAATAATAAAAGTGGACTCAACGGGCCGACTAACATCACGTGGAGGGGGGGGGGGCATTAATGTTCCAGCTGCTGTAGAGTAAAAGTGTCTGATTGCAATCGACTAAAAAACAGAGACAGAGCGAGTCTACTAACCATTGGTGGAAAGAATATATTAATTAGGTCAATTTACCCAGCAGTATATAATAAAATAAAATAAAATAAAGCCTATTTTCACCAAGCGCAACTCTGGAATGATTATTAAATTGAATTATAATACAATAGGATATCATACAATGGACCATATCTGCATGATAAGTATCTGCAGACCATTCACATGCATTACAAACCTGTATAACAAACTACAGGAGAGGGTGTGATATATGGGTTATATTATGCATGCACAGGGGAACCAAACCTACAAAAGGTAAAGATTTACTGAAGAATTCAAATGCTTTTTCAGACTCTACCAGATGCTGATCACGCTGTAAGATTCAGATATAGAAGTCAACTAGGAACATAGTCTGGGGGAGAGTTTATATTATGTCTGAGAGTTGGGGGGTAAGTCAAACACAGAGGGAAAGGTTCAGATCTTAGCGGGGTTTATTTTTCTCTTTTTCTAAGGACGAGCTGAATGGGGAGAGTTCTCCTTCTGACAGAAAACCAACACATTCACACAGATGTTTTCAATTTCTCTAAAGCCAGGGGCAAATTAAGAAGCTCCAAAACCAATACTGAACCACGAAGAAGAAGAAGAAGAAGAAGAAGAAGAAGAAGAAGAAGAAGAAGAAGAAGAAGAAGAAGAAGAAGAAGAAGAAGAAGAAGAAGAAGAAGAAGAAGAAGAAGAAGAAGAAGAAGAAGAAGAAGAAGAAGAAGAAGAAGAAGAAGAAGAAGAAGAAGAAGAAGAAGAAGAAGAAGAAGAAGAACGATGACACTATGGTATGAGAAAAAGAGAGAAGAAGAAGAAGGAGGAAGACTGCGTGTAAATTCAAGGCTTATAGGAAATTGATAATATCTCCTTGTACTTTATGCAGGGGTTATATTGGGTTGGGGTCCCGACATAGAGGGCTTTTAAAGCATCAAAACAGGCTGTGAGTGGTGACGTTTTACCACATTTCCCCCCTGCAGTCCCTCAACCGGAGGTCTCAGGTGATAACCAACCCACTTTCTATTCCTGTCACTAAATGGGTCAAGATCAGAAAAAAACAACATCTCAGAGAAGCTCCATCTGTAGTGAAACTGGATTATGGGGACAGCGGCAGTACAGACCACTGCAAACGGCTATAGAGAGGTGCAGGAATGAGTCCTAAAAGCCTGGATTGTTAGCATTTAAGCACTTCCTGTCACCTGCTCTGAAAGTAAATGGTTTTCTGAAAGTGTTTTGGGTTGTTAGCCTGAAATCAGGTCTGAGGTTAACACAAGCTGAAGAGATTTTGTTCTACGACATAAAATAAGTAAGTAAATACCCCACTGGTGAATTAAAAAAACGGCGAACGCTAACAGGTGTCTAAATGAGACGACTAAACATCATCACTCCCAACATTAGCCTCCTTTAGCTTAGCGGTGGTGACGTGAAGTCATGTGACCGTGCTGTAGTTCCTTTATAGCCCAAGATTAGCCTACTTTAGCTTAGCGGTGGTGACGTGAAGTCATGTGACCGTGCTGTAGTTCCTTTATAGCCCAACATTAGCCGCCTTTAGCTTAGCGGTGGTGACGTGAAGTCATGTGACCATGCTCTGTAGTTCCTTCATAGCCCAACATTAGCCCTCTTTAGCTTAGCGGTGGTGACGTGAAGTCATGTGACCGTGCTGTAGTTCCTTTATAGCCCAAGATTAGCCTACTTTAGCTTAGCGGTGGTGACGTGAAGTCATGTGACCGTGCTGTAGTTCCTTTATAGCCCAAGATTAGCCTACTTTAGCTTAGCGGTGGTGACGTGAAGTCATGTGATCGTGCTGTAGTTCCTTTATAGCCCAACATTAGCCGCCTTTAGCTTAGCGGTGGTGACGTGAAGTCATGTGACCGTGCTGTAGTTCCTTTATAGCCCAAGATTAGCCTACTTTAGCTTAGCGGTGGTGACGTGAAGTCATGTGATCGTGCTGTAGTTCCTTTATAGCCCAACATTAGCCGCCTTTAGCTTAGCGGTGGTGACGTGAAGTCATGTGACCGTGCTGTAGTTAATTTATAGCCCAACATTAGCCCCCTTTAGCTTAGCGGTGGTGACGTGAAGTCATGTGACCGTGCTGTAGTTCCTTTATAGCCCAACATTAGCCCTCTTTAGCTTAGCGGTGGTGACCTGAAGTCATGTGACCGTGCTGTAGTTCCTTTATAGCCCAACATTAGCCTACTTTAGCTTAGCGATGGTGACGTGAAGTCATGTGACCGTGCTGTAGTTCCTTTATAGCCCAACATTAGCCCCCTTTAGCTTAGCGGTGGTGACGTGAAGTCATGTGACCGTGCTGTAGTTCCTTTATAGCCCAACATTAGCCTACTTTAGCTTAGCGATGGTGACGTGAAGTCATGTGACCGTGCTGTAGTTCCTTTATAGCCCAACATTAGCCACCTTTAGCTTAGCGGTGGTGACTTTTGTGAAAGGAACCAGGAGGAACCTTTAATTGTATCTGAATTAGCATGTAAATGGCATGATTTCGGGCTAAAAGACAAGGTCAACGTTTCTGTAATCCTACGTTCTGGGCCACACATGTGCAGTTTTACACAGTGGGACTACCACAAATTAAAACATAGAGAGGTCAAGTTATTTCTGCAGATGCACCAAGGACAAACACACTGAAACCAGTTAAGTTTTTGGAAGAAAAAAAAAAGAAGTCTGGCAAAGGACTGGCAACATCTGTCAATCATACTGTGTGTGTGTGTGTGTGTGTGTGTGTGTGTGTGTGTGTGTGTGTGTGTGTGTGTGTGTGTGTGTGTGTGTGTGTGTGTGTGTGTGTGTGTGTGTGTGTTTGTGTGTGTGTGCAGGATTCAGTCAGGAGAGCTCAATACACTCTGTCCCCAAAAACATACAGTGATAATGATCTCACTTTCACACACGAGTGCAAAAGACAAGACGTCTAAAAGTGAAGACCAGTGTGCAGAGAGCAGAAACGCTGCCTGGCATTTTTTTATTATAACAACTGAGGGTGAAATTCAGTCTACAGCTGTGAGAATCATGGGTTTTTGGATCCAACGAAATACAAATCACTCAGTCAATATCAGTCTGTGTTTCCAGAATATTCTTTACGTTTTCCCTTTGCCGTCAAACTCTATTGATAAAACCAGTGATTTTAACACGCAGAAAACCAATGTTGATGGTCTACAGTTGCCTCAATCCATTCGCTTGTTTTTGTGTTTTTGGACGATAACAAACAATACAATCAAAACCCAAAGGATCAACACAGAGGTAGAGCAGCAACCACGTCTTTAAATGAAGTCTGGTTGCTCTGACAAAATGCTAATTTCAATTATAACAACTAGGATTCAATCTACAGCGGTGAGGATTATGGGAGATTAAAGGTTAGTCATCACAAAAAGTAAAATCATCCAATATATATTACAACAGGTTTAAAAAAGAAAGTCCTCTCCTGATGATGTTCAGGTGTATATCAGTATGTAGTGTCTCTACTTTAAAGAGTCCTCTCCTGCTGATGTTCAGGTGTATATCAGTATGTAGTGTCTCTGCTTTAAAGAGTCCTCTCCTGCTGATGTTCAGGTGTATATCAGTATCTAGTGTCTCTACTTTAAAGAGTCCTCTCCTGCTGATGTTCAGGTGTATATCAGTATGTAGTGTCTCTACTTTAAAGAGTCCTCCTCCTGCTGATGTTCAGGTGTATATCAGTATGTAGTGTCTCTACTTTAAAGAGTCCTCTCCTGCAGATGTTCAGGTGTATATCAGTATGTAGAGTCTCTACTTTAAAGAGTCCTCTCCTGCTGATGTTCAGGTGTATATCAGTATGTAGTGTATCTACTTTAAAGAGTCCTCTCCTGCTGATGTTCAGGTGCATATCAGTATGTAGAGTCTCTACTTTAAAGAGTCCTCTCCTGCTGATGTTCAGGTGTATATCAGTAGTGTCTCTACTTTAAAGAGTCCTCTCCTGCTGATGTTCAGGTGTATATCAGTATGTAGTGTCTCTACTTTAAAGAGTCCTCTCCTGCTGATGTTCAGGTGTATATCAGTATGTAGTGTCTCTACTTTAAAGAGTCCTCTCCTGCTGATGTTCAGGTGTATATCAGTATGTAGTGTCTCTACTTTAAAGAGTCCTCTCCTGCTGATGTTCAGGTGTATATCAGTATGTAGTGTCTCTACTTTAAAGAGTCCTCTCCTGCTGATGTTCAGGTGTATATCAGTATGTAGTGTCTCTACTTTAAAGAGTCCTCTCCTGCTGATGTTTCAGGTGTATATCAGTATGTAGTGTCTCTACTTTAAAGAGTCCTCTCCTGCTGATGTTCAGGTGTATATCAGTATGTAGTGTCTCTACTTTAAAGAGTCCTCTCCTGCTGATGTTCAGGTGTATATCAGTATGTAGTGTCTCTACTTTAAAGAGTCCTCTCCTGCTAATGTTCAGGTGTATATCAGTATGTAGTGTCTCTACTTTAACTTCCTTCACAGTCACTGACCATCTCAACAGTACATAAGGTTTCTGAGTCACTCACGTAAATGAGTCCCGAGTAGTATCTCTCCTTCAGGTTGTTCAGCACCGACGCCTCGTTCAGACAGGTGAGCTCCGCCATGTCCTCCACTTTGCTGAATTTAGGCGGGTTCATCTTCTGGATGTCGTCCTTGTTGACCACGACCTTCTTTCCGTTCTCGGCCAGCTCCAGCTGCACCTCCTCTCCGCGCTCCTCCCTGATGCCGGCGGCCTCGAAGCCATGGCGCTCTGAGGGAATCCAGACTAGCTTCTTGGCCGTCCAGTCAGCCTGCGTGGCCGGGTTGTAGACGACGGCCCGGTCCACAAACAGGTACCGCTCCGGGTCCTCCTGTCCACTCCGTTGAGACATCTTCTTTTACCAGAGCAACGTGGACACCTGGGACAGAAAGAGGAGCGGGGTTCATGAGGGCTGCAACTAGGGGTCACTTTCAGGAGCAATTTCTTTCAAGATTATTTTCTAGATTGATTGTTTGGGTTTTAAAACACTTAAACACTTTACATTTCTGTAAAACATTTCTTCTTATTTCTTCATATTTTTATTTATTTTTGGAATTGCATATTTATTTAAAAACCCAAAGATACTTATTTGAATATAAAACAGACAAAAATTACAATTTTCAGATGCAATTTCTTTGATTATTATTTTTCTAGATTGATTTTTTTTTAAATAAGTTTTATTTTTCCTTTTTTTTAATATATATATATATATATATATATATATATATATATATTACATTTTATTTTAATCATATCTTCTTATTTTTTCATTTAAATATATTTTATAATATTATATTTTAAATCGTTTTTTTATGCATATATATATATATGATTTTTTCTTATTTATTTGTTTTTGAGTATTTTTACTGCAGTATTGATACTTTTACTTAAGTAAATAATCTCAGTACTTCTTCCACCTCTGAGTAGACTAAGTATAAAGTACCTGAACATTGTACTTAAATACAGAACTTGAGTGAATGTACATTATTTGGACACCTGGGACAGCAAGAGGAGCGGGGTTCATGAGGGCTGCAACTAGGGGTTACTTTCAGGAGCAATTTCTATAAAGACCATTTTCTATATTGATCGTTTGGGTTTTAAAACTGAAAAAATATTTAACACTAAGTTTTTGTATATACATTTCTGTAAAAACATTTATTTTTATATTTGAAAATACTTTTAATAATTTTGTAATATTCAAATGTATTTTAAACATATCTTCTTATTTTTTCATTTAAATATATTTTATAATAAAAAATGTAATATCTTTCTTTTTTTTTTAAATATTCTTTTTTCTTATTTGTTTTTCAGTATTTTTACTGCAGAATTTATACTTAAGACTTAATCAAATAATCTGATTACTTCTTCCACCTTTGAGTAGAAGTATACCATTGAAATACTAGTACCTGAACATTGTCCTTGAATACAGAACTTGAGTAAATGTACTTCATTATTTTCTCCCTGTTCTCACTCAATCTGCACAATGCGCATAGTGCGTAGGCTGCACCGCTATCACCACACATCAAACCCCTTATATCATAACATCTCGCGGTATTTAAAATAATAACACATATACCCGTCGTTAGGATAATAACCACATATCGTGACAGGTGGAGACTGCGCAATGGCAAGTCCACGATAAACACAATGAATAAACACAAACGTTAACTTTAGACACATAAATACATTGTTTAGCCACAGAAAAATGTACAAATAGAGCTTACTTAACAGCTAAATAGCTTAACTTATGTTAACTTTTACGAGTTAGGTGGGATATTATGTGGACCACCTCATATTAAAACAGTGGGTTGTTAACTCACTACGTCACCTAAATAGTGTCAGAATAAAGTTTGTAATACATATTTTTGTAAAGTGTATTTTCCTCATTTGCCCCGCAGTGAGGCTGTACTCCTGTCCTTGCGGTGGACACAATAATGTAACATTCAAAGGCTTTATTTCCCATGTGCACAATAGCTGCAGTGTAGTTTTTGGCAATGCACATCGTAAATCCAAGGCTTCTCCAACAACGCAACATAATATCCTTAAGATGAACACGAAAAGGAGGTCAAATGGTGCAGGTCATTTGCAGGAATGGCTCACCTGGTGTAATCTGCTGTCCTGTTATGTCCCTGTGCAGCGTTCAGCTCCTCTCCTCTCAATGAGATGCATTTAGCGGGGCTTCGGTATGCAGCAGCAGACCTGCCTCCACACTGCCCCCCTAAACCCTGCACCGCAGAGGTATGGACGGCCAACCATGCCATAAAGCCGTGCCATCTTCGTACTGTTTCTGTTTGTATGTAAAGCTTCTTTGAGCACTAGGAAAAGCGATATATAAATGCAATGTATTATTATTATTAACTATTATTATATATAAACTATTTTTTACACGTTTTTTAGTTCAACACCCGTTTTTTTCTGGCGTTTACGGAAGCCAACAGCCAACACTGCCATAATCACTATTTTGACACGTTTTTTTGTTAAACACCTGTTTTTTTTGCGCTTTTTACAGTACGCCAACAGTGCCTTATTCATCACTATTTTGACATGTTTTTAAGTTAGAACCCGTTTTTTCCGCGTGTTTTACAGTACGCCAACAGTGCCTTAATCATCACTATTTGTTACCTTGGTTTACCGTGTTTTCTATTCAAAGTTGTTTTTTTCGCGTTGTAGTGAAATGGTAAAAAATTGTTTTTTCCAGTACAAGAAAGAAGAGTTAAGCCAGTACAAAGCAATACATATTTGAAAGACAAAGCCACTATTTCAACTTGTTTTTCGTTAAACCCCAGTTTTTCCTGTGCGTTTTTAGCCATTTAAAAAACATGCTATTTACTTTGTTATTCTTAGAAAACTTTGTTTCCGCTACAAGAAAGACGAGTTAAGAATGAAGCCGTCCCAAAGCAATGAATACATGGACAGTTCCTGCCATTGTAAAGGCTGTAGAGACAATGCGTAAACATTTCTAACGAAAGCTCAGTGAAAGCAGGGTTTTCGACAACCACCTGCCGTGGTGCCCTTGAGCAAGTACTGCTGCAGGCCATTGAAGGTTTGGTATATGACTCTTGCTTTTTAAAATATGTATCCTCAAAGATCAAGCACTTATTGTAGGTTGGATAGAAGCGCCAGCTAAATGAAATGCATTAACGTAATTAAAAGGCATGCAAAACACATCAATATTTCAACGGTTTATTGCATGCCTTTTAAATAGGTAGTAAGGTGTATTATCGCTGCAGAATATTATTATTTTACCTCATAGTTCTTCACATATAAATATCAAAAGACATATACATATGACATAGAAGTACTCACACAGATCACATAACCCTATTTAAACATGAATATAAAGGGTTAAACAGTACAATGTGTTATCTGTAAATGAACTTAGAATCAGTAATGTTTTTTTATATCAATTTGACACGGCTTCATTTTGTATTGTATAATAATTCTCATGTTTAATGTTTGTATTATATATGTTAAATAAATCTAATCACATCAGAACTTGCATGACTTAAAACCAGCTCCTTTACATGTCGTTCAATTCTTACCTTGAAAGCAAATTTAGATTTCTGAATTGATTTTAACGTTTTGAAGTGTATTTATATGTTCCAAGTATTTTTTCAATATTTGAGCTCTAAGTAATAGGATTATTTTGTATCTTTTATTCCCTCCTGTTTTAACTAAGTTATATTCTTACTTCTTTCTGTATGGATTGAATTAGTTGAATAGTAACTATAAAAAACCATGTCTCTTTATCCCGTTCTCAATGAAGAGACATCATTCCCTTCTCCTGCAGTAACACCGCCCTCTTGTCTCTGAAAGCTGCAACTGCAGTATTTTATACACAATAATCTCAATAATACACAACTCTAAATGTTTTTAACAGGGATTTTATTACAAATGGGGAATCTCATAACACGGGAAGCAGGTCGTCTGTAATTAAATAGCATCCATACTAAATGCTGGGAAACATACCGTGGATGAAAAAAGCGTCGTATTGTTATTTACAGTCTGTTAATGTAGGAGGCTTCAGCGGCCCCCCCCCCTCCAGGCTGCTGCTCCTCTCTTCTTCATGCTTCCTCCTCCATCCCCCCCTCCTCTTCCTACTCCTCCTCTTCCTCTTCCTCCTCCATCCCCTCCTCCTCTCACTTTCTTCCTCACTCCGCTGGCTTGTTCTGTGTCGTCGTTGTCCGGGTCTCCTCCTCTCGGCCGTTTCCTTTTCTCGCCTTGCTCCTTCATTTCCTGAAGAAGACCAGTTTCATTTTTCAGTTATTATTGTTTGGTGGATTTTTTTCTGTACACAAATACATGTATGTACTTACAAATAAACCCACTTTTTCAAATTACAATAAACATCTGTCGTGCATATTTTATTAAAGTGGTTCCCAGAAGAAGAAAAACATCAAAATCGAATTAATTCAGAAACATCAAAATCTTATTGAGAGATTAATCAAAACTGGAAATATGCTTTAGTTGCATTCCTAGTACCAAGAACATTTTGATACCACAGGAAGAAACACTACAATAACTCCCATGTGCCTACAAACAAACCCACTTATAGTATCATTGCATTATATCTTTTTAAAAGATTAATGAATGAATGAATCAACACTGAAAACAATGTTTAGTTGCAGCCCTAGTACAAAACATCCCATCAACCAGAGGGCGTAGAAGTACTCTGATGTTCTTTAGTCAAAGTAGAAGTACTCTGATGTTCTTTAGTCAAAGTAGAAGTACTCTGATGTTCTTTAGTCAAAGTAGAAGTACTCTGATGTTCTTTAGTCAAAGTAGAAGTACTCTGATGTTGTACTTGAGTAAAAGTAGAAGTACTCAGATCTTGTACTTGAGTAAAAGTAGAAGTACTCAGATCTTGTACTTGAGTTAAAGTAGAAGTACTCAGATCTTGTAGTAAAAGTAGAAGTACTCAGGTCTTGTACTTGAGTAAAGTAGAAGTACTCAGGTCTCGTACTTGAGTTAAAGTAGAAGTACTCAGATCTTGTAGTAAAAGTAGAAGTACTCAGGTCTTGTACTTGAGTAAAAGTAGAAGTACTCAGGTCTCGTACTTGAGTTAAAGTAGAAGTACTCAGATCTTGTACTTGAGTAAAAGTAGAAGTACTCAGGTCTCGTACTTGAGTAAAAGTAGAAGTACTCAGATCTTGTACTTGAGTAAAAGTAGAAGTACTCAGGTCTTGTACTTGAGTAAAAGTAGAAGTACTCAGATCTTGTTCTTGAGTGAAAGTAGAAGTACTCAGATCTTGTACTTGAGTAAAAGTAGAAGTACTCAGATCTTGTACTTGAGTAAAAGAAGAAGTACTCGGATCTTGTACTTGAGTTAAAGTAGAAGTACTCAGATCTTGTACTTGAGTAAAAGAAGAAGTACTCGGATCTTGTACTTGAGTAAAAGTAGAAGTACTCAGATCTTGTAGTAAAAGTAGAAGTACTCAGGTCTTGTACTTGAGTAAAAGTAGAAGTACTCAGGTCTCGTACTTGAGTTAAAGTAGAAGTACTCAGATCTTGTACTTGAGTAAAAGTAGAAGTACTCAGGTCTCGTACTTGAGTAAAAGTAGAAGTACTCAGATCTTGTACTTGAGTAAAAGTAGAAGTACTCAGATCTTGTACTTGAGTTAAAGTAGAAGTACTCAGATCTTGTACTTGAGTAAAAGTAGAAGTACCAGAGTGTAGGAATACTCTGTTACAGTAAAAGTCCTGCATTCAAAATGTTCCTCAAGTGAAAGTAGAAAAGTATTCTCATCAAAATATAGTGAAAGACAGTAAAAGTAGTCGTTGTGCAGATTGGTCCATTTCAGAATAATATATATATATGTTTTATAATGATTGATCATGAAAGTGTTCTCAAAGCTGGTAAAGGTGCAGCTAGTCTGAATGACTGTTTGAAGTGATTTCTGAGAGCGGACTCACCAGCCGGGCGAACCTCTGGGCCTCGCTGACCCGCTCCACCAGCATCATCACCTCGTCCTCCTGCGTCGGGAACGCCGGGAGCTTCTTCGCTATCAGGGTCTCGATCCGCTGGAAAAGCTCCACGTCGTATCTAAGATAACAGAACAGTCACTTTAGGTAAGGCACATTTTCAGACAGAGGCAATTCAAAGTCATTTACATCAACGCTTAATAAGAAGACAACGGAAAGGAACACAATAAATAAACACAATGGAACAACAGATTCATAAAACCATGCATAAGAGAGATACAGAATAGTTTCAAAACAGCATTGTAAATACAGCAGGTGCTAAAACAAGTTAAAAGGCTTCTGGGTAAGCAGATGTGTTTTGTTTCTAACTCAGCGTTGGTGAAGACTTCAGGTTTTCTGGAAGCTTGTTCCCTTTGTGAGGAGACTACAAACTAAAAGCAGCTTCTTTACCATTATATTAATACAGGAGCCATCTTTAGCCTCAACACGAGATACTGTAACAAAACACATCCAAGTTCCTTACTGAGTGACGAAGGTGATGGATTTCCCGGAGCGCCCGGCTCTGGCTGTCCGCCCCACTCTGTGGATGTAGTCCTGAGGACACAGCCATCAAAGGCAAGGCATGTTTATTCATACAGCACCTTTCAACACAAGGCAACTCAAACAAAGATGAAAGACATTTAAAAACAGTCATTAAAACGGAAAAATAAAATAAACATTAAAAGAAATGACATGAATAAAAGTTACAGTAGTGCAGTAGAGACGTTAATAGTTCAATTAAAAACAGTGGCGAAAAGAAAAGCCTGGGTTTAAAAGCAGTCAGAGTTGCAGCGGACCGGCAGGTTAGTTCCAGATATTTGGAGCAGAATAACTGAACGCTGCTTCTCCTCCAAAAGGTCTCCTATTGTCCTCTTCTTCATCAATATATCACAGGTCTCAGATATATCCAGAGCCTGTCTCTGATTGGCTGAAACACCAAACAGATCATTGCAGCATTACCCATAATCCCCTCTGTTTCAGCCCTGTTTCCAAAGTGCTGATTCTCTGTCGGTTACTTTAGATGAAAAATAAGGAGCCCCTCCCCACGCCGCTCTGAGAGACATTTGGTTACAAAGAACTCAATGGAGCTCTAGAGGAGATTCAGGTGATAAGGTGTGGGGGGGGGGGGGTTACCTTGGTTGCTGATTGGCTAATGGTTACACAAGACAAAACATCGTTATGACATCATAAAGTGGCCAAAATCTGATCAGCTCATTTTCAGACAGGTTTTTATAGAAATGGATCAAAAAGAGAGAGAAACTTTGTTCCTGAAACTTTCAGA